TATTGAGCTAATCTACTCTGTGATGACAATGGGAATAAATAGAATTCAGAGCAAATACTCATATATATGTGGATGCCAAGTAGCATAGCACCAAAATGTACAATGAGGCAACTGTCGAAATAATGAGACATCATGAAACACATCCATAAAAAAGAAAGACTTAATCCTGCTTTCTCCATCCAATATGCCTTAGTAGGAAGTATACGCAGGCATAAAATAGAAAATAATAGTTTTATAAAATGTTCCTATAACATCTACAAATATTATCCATATATTAGTTAACACAGAAAATCTCACTAAGTTCCCGGGGTGCCTGGGAGGCTCAGACAGTTAAGCGTCTGCTTTCAGCTCAGGTCATGATCCCAGAGTCCTGGGAACGAGTCCCACATCAGTCTCCTTGCTCAGCAGGGAATCTGCTTCTCCCTCTCCCTGATGCTCCCCCTGCTTATGCACTCTCTCTCTTTCTCTGATAAATAAATAGAAAGTCTTAAAAAAAAGAAAAAAAAAAGAAAATTTCACTAAGTTCCAAACTCAAAAATCAATTAAACAGCAAAAAATTGCACTATTCAGTCCAGTTCTGATTCTTCCACTTTCAGAGGCCCTTCTCTGAGAGCGCCATGCAGTATGGACATGATTATGTCTCTGAAATCCAGCTGGCTTTGTCTCTCATTTAGACAGTTTCCATGATCCCTGAATGCACCCCTCCCTTCTACCCTATCCTAAAAAAATCATAGAAAGCTTGTTTTATTCATTCATTAATCCATTTGTTCATTTGGCCATTCGCTCATGCATCCACTTAAGGCATTCACATTTTTAAGGAAAATAACCACGCTGAGGCATCCTTGATGTAAATGCTTACTCCAGGAATGGTTCTGGATCCACCCCATGGATGGTTTGTGATTTAACAACTCTGTGTAAGCAACCTCTATCGGGCAAGGAGTTCTATAGGTTTTAGAGTATTAAGAAAAGCAAATCAGGACATGTGCTTCATGAAGGAGGTGAGAACTGGGTTGGCATCCTATCTCCTACCTGATTTGAAGAGCAACTTGGCTCCTGGCTTCTTCTTTGGAGCTATCGGGACCCAAACCCCCCATGTTGCCTCTCACTGCTCACTGCATGAACATGAGCAGAGCAGTGTCCATGAGTTCCTGTCTGGTCTTCCCATGATCCCATCTCAAGATCTCTACTTCACCTGCCTGACTCCTCTCCTCTGGGTGCCCTTGCCACCCCAGCTTTATCTGGAAAGAGCCCCATCTTCAGGGACTCTGAGAGGTCTCCCAGAGTCTTCTGGGTCTGGTCTTGCTAGTCCTTCCCAGGTTTTCTCTCTGACACTCACATCTGCAAACACAACCCTGCCTCCTCTGGGCCAGTCCCAAAGGAGGCAGGCTCAGCCTCATGGGGGAGTGGACTCTCAAATGAGTGTTGCACAAAAAACCAGTTTTAAGCCTGGTTTTTGCCATTCTGGTATGCTTTTATCCATCTGGCAGATAATTAATTGGCTATCACCTACTAAGCACAGGTTGGGATTAAGGAACTGGAGTTCAGAGATAAGTAAGGTACAACATATGCCCTTTAAAGAATGTTTAGATTACTGGGGAAAACAAACTCCTTTGCAAATAATTATAATAAGCACAATCCAACTTAAGGAGGGCTCAGTTGATGAGATACGCAAATTCTTCAACTCTTCTGCCTCTTAGGAGCCATATCTGCTCTAAACGTTCACTCGTTCTTTCACTCAACAAGTATTTATTGAGCACTTAATGTATTCTAGGTATTGGAGATGCAGGTGAAAGCAGAGACATAGTTTTATTTCTTCCAGAACTTACAGCTTAGTCAGAGAGATGGATAAATAAATAAATAGATAATTACAGATTGTGATAAGTTAATTCGTTAATTCAACTAGTATTTACGGAGTTCCTACAAGGTCTCAGACACTGTTCTAAACCCTGTGGACAAGGTGACAAACCTACATACACTTCTTAACTTCCTGGACCTTCTAGAGAACAGTCAAGAAACAAGGTAAAAAGGTAATACACCATAGACGGGTGGTGAATGTTAAGGAGAAAAAAATTTAACACAGAAAAAGGGGTTAATAAAATATCAGGTGAGCAAGAGGCTTCGAAATATTGAACGACAGGTCAGAGAAGGCTTCCCCTGAGGAGGGAACTTTGTGAAAAGACCTTGAAGTAGAGGGAGGAAGGAGCAATGCATGAAGAGGTCTGAGAGGAGAGAATTCCAGGAGAGGGAATAGGAAGCATAAAGACCTTGAAGTAGGAGTGTGTCTGAGTAAAGAAAATTACAGCACAGAGATGATGAGCGAAGGGGATGCACAGAGGAGGGGAATCTACCTGGAGTGTTCAGCAAAGGCCTCGATGAGGAGGCGATCTATGAGCTGAAGAATGAAGTGGAAGCAGGGTTTCTACCTGGGTTATGATTGCGTTTTATTTAGGATTTCTGTTTCTCAATCTGACCGCTTCCCATCCCTAGAACTCATTCCTGAGAACCAGGCCACCACAGTGGTGGCCAACCCTTCCATCTTCCTCCTTCCCTGAGCCTCCAATAGGATTCTTCTCTAAACCAGGATGTCATACCATATCATCACGGCCTCAGTAGAGAGCTCTGATCCCTCTGCCCACGCCCACACACTGCAGACCCCACTGTGGAGATGAGACTAGCCTGGAACCTGTTAGAGTTTCCCATATCTGTCTGGACAACTGAGACCCCTCTCTCCACCAATGGACAGCTTTCCAGCTGGACAAGTTCCCTTCAGTTGAGCCCCAGAAGCTCGTCTTATTCCAGACAACTCATGCTTCTGATGTCCCAGCATGCCTTGCAGCCAGTCCTGGCCAAGTTATGACACATTCACAATTCCCTGAAAAAGCAAAAGGCTGCAATGTAGCTTCTGGAGACTTGATTATTTATGGGGCTTCAGTCTACTTGGAAAGCCTACAGAGAAAAATGACAAAGGAACATGAGTTATGATGAGTTACGGTCAGTTCTCTTTTGCCATTTACTAGCTGTATGTCTCTAGGAAAGTTGACTTCATTGAGCCTCAGTTTTCTCATTTGTAAACTGGGAATTCCTTGCCTACTTCACAGCTTTTGAAGGATTCAATAAAATAAAGTAATTGAAGTACCTGACACATAAGAAGGGTTCCAAAGAATGTTTGCTGAATATGAAACTTCAATCCCCTCTTTGGTTTATGCCAGGGGTCAGCAATGTACAGTCTATGGGGCAAATCCAGGCCCATGGCTTGTTTTTATAAATAAAGCTTTATTGGAACATAGCCATACCATTGCTTTACATATTGTCTATAAATCCTGTTGTGCTACAGGAGCAGAGTGGTAGTTGCCATGAAGACCACATGGTCCACAAAGACTAAAATATTTACTATCTGGTCTTTAATACAATGACTATGTAAGCCCCTGGTCTGTATTAGCATGAGACACTGGCTCTCGAGTCAGGCTGCCTGGATTTAAATGCTGGTTTGATCACTTAACTAGCTTTGGAACTCTGAGCAAGTTCTTTAACTTATCTGTAACTAGTTTCCACATCTGAAAAATGGGAATACTAGTTTATCATATTGGGTTGATGAAAGGATTAAATGAACCACCTGGTAAAGTATGCAGCACACTGCCAGCAAATGATTAGTGTTGATCAACATGATGCTTGTTGTTGTGAATGTCATATGATATTATTACCTCTGCTATTCACAGAGTTTCTCCATTAAAATGGGAGTGGGGATAGTTTTCAGAATCAACCTGCAGCCTGAGCATCCTATCTAAAATGGTATTTGGCATATAAGCATCACTCAAGGTGGCTTATGAATGGCCCAGGGCTCCAGGATCTGGCCCCACTCTATCTATGTCTCCCCATGGCTGCTTTCTGCTCATCCAGACAAGCCAGTTGGTAATCAGACCTGGAGATACAGTCCTCCAGATGAGGCTTTCCTTACCATGCCCTCGGTAGGTGTGGGCATGAGTTACCCACTAAGCCCAGGGACTTTTGCTGGTGATGATGTGCTTCCCTTTGGTCTGGCTTGGTAAGAGTCCCTGGGTGATCATTAGTCTGTCCTGCACATCCATTTGGCTTTGGAGTTAACACACCAGAGGTGGGGGAGCATCTCCTAGTGGCCCCCATGTACATTTGAAGGTTTGTTGGGCAGAATTTACAACTCAAGGTCAAGGACTAAAGTGACAGCTCAGGTGGGGACCAGAACAGGTGCCTACTGACCGGGGCGAGACCACCTCCTGGAAACTGGTGTCAGGGACACAAAGGCTCCTGTGAAAGAAATAGGGCCAGGCAGATGAGTACTGATAGCTCTGAAAGGATCAAGAGCCAGACTGCTGGTTACAGACCCAGAGCTACTTTCCAAGGGAACAGAGAGGGTTGCCAAACAGACTGAGATGATGAGGAAATATGCACATGCGATTGTGTTTGTGTGTGTGAGTGCGTGGGTGTGTTTGCACATTAATGCATGAACATCCATACTCTATAGCCATTCAAGGATAAGACAGTGCAAGAGAGCATGGGGACGTCTGCGTTATCCATAATTCCAGACTTCTTAATACTTCTAAAATGATGGGTTCCAACTCTCCCCCCTCATAAGATTAATGATAATATTCCACAAGCCATAGAATCTAACAAAATATTATTTTTTTCTATTTTGAAATAACATCTGTATGACAAATCTTGCTAAGTTATAAATTTGACCACACAGATTTGCATACCAATTTTATTGACAAGGTCACAACCTCCTGTTCTCATTTGAGCCCCAGATTTTCTGAAACTCACGCTGTCCATGGCAATGGGACGCACAATTTTGAGCAGCGAGAAGAAATTCCTGAAGAAGACTTCTCATGTGAATCAAAAGGAGTTTGATTAAGAGCCAAGCCACCTGTGGGGACTACAGCTGAAGCTGTCACCACCTGGCCCTAAATGGATATAGATATTCACCTCACCCACCAGGGGCCCCCCGCACACACCCCAGGTGTGGCAATATTAGGAAGCAACAGTCTGTCAGTGAACGCAGGTGACTGTTGAGCTGGTTCATTTGAGCCAAGAAATTGTCTTCAGCAAATGAGGACACCTCCTTGAAAAATAAAGACCTCAGCCACAAACGCCAAGAAATTTCTTGCCCCGAAGTAGGATAACTTTCTCTCTTAGATAGCCAGCCTGGTCCTAGAGAACTTTTCAAACAGGTAATGAAGATACCACTAAGGAAAAAAAGAAAAATCAGTTCCTTCTTTTGACACATTCTTTGTCAGGATTTATTATTATTTGCTTATTACCTCTACAGATATAGTATTTAGGGTGAGACAACTGAATCCCAGTGAAAGACCTCCCAAGGCCAGCTATAGGACCTGGCATAGTGTAGGCTCTCAATAAGTTTGTGTTGAACTCTCTGATTGACCAGATTCCACTTTGAGCAAAGAAACCAGTCATTTATTTACACATTACCTGATGCTCCTCCTAGGGAGTGTTGTTTCAAAGCTATTCCTACAGTATTTTCTTTGCTAACAGGACTTAAGTACATAAATATGATATTCAGGCAGATGTTTCTTTTCCTGTTACCCAAATTATCCATCCCAACGGAAAGATCGATGAGACCCATGCGTTATTACAGCCTGTCTGTCTGATAGGCTGGGATCACTTTCCTATCACACCAGCCAAATCCTTTGTGAACACTGCGGTGCCCACAGATAGGGTCCCCTGGGCTCAGGGACATGAGCCGGAGGGCTCAGGGAGAGCATGATGGAAGAGAGTAAAATAGTAAGTCCAAATTTAGCAAACTTCTTGAAAAGATATTCAATTTCTCACCAGCATGTGATTGATTCATCAGTTAGAAATGGATTGTTCAGCATCTCCTTGAACAGAGGCACACATGCATCATTCTTCTGCAGCTGGCTAAACGAGCTAGGGAAGGTTGGGAAGAGTGTCATTCTGAGGACCCCAGACTCCTCTCACCCTTCAGGCTCCACAAACCCAGAGAAGAGAGGGGAGAACATGTGGCCTGGAAGCCAGGTCTTTTCTTCCCCCATCCCCGAGCCTTTTTCTTCCCCCTTCTTGGGGGCATTTCAGGGATGTTCTTTGTCAATTCTGAAGCTGAAGCTGAAAACAGGATTTTGGTTGCTGAACAGAGGGATGGAAATGCTCCTCCCTGAAGCAGGAAGATGGTCTGAGTCAGCATCCAAGGTTCAAAAGTAGGTACTTTGGGGCACCTGGGTGACTCAGTCTAACTTAACTCAGTTAAGCATCTAACTTTTGGCTCAGGTCGTAATCCCAGGGTCCTGGGACTGAGCCCCATTTTGGGCTCCCTGCTCAGCGGAGAGTCTGCTTCTTTCCCTCTGCCCTTCCCCCATGGTTGCGCTCTCTCTCTCTCTCTCTCTCTCAAATAAATAAATAGTAGGTTCTTTGGGGAGCTTCACATTCAAGTGTTCCCAGTGAGTCTGGCCCAGGCATAAACATTTCCCAAGTGCCTGTGGTGAGCTCAGAGCAGGGCGGGTGATTTCACAGGGAACCACCTGTTACTTCAAGTTCTTTATCTCATCTGAGCCTCCTGGAAACCTCTCACACGGGTGCTGTCCCGAAGTTCCTGGTCGGGGCAGAGCTAGGTGCTGGGTACGCGGTGGTGAGCAAACACCAAGCAGCTAGCTCAGAATCCGACCCTGGAGTGGGCACTCGCAGACAATCCCATCGACACAAGTGCTATTCCAAGATGACCTAAGTGCTCCGAGGGCAGGCTCCAGGAAGTTTGCATCGCAGTCAAGAAGAGCTGGGGCCAGTCGGCTCGGGGTCACATCCCAGCTCTGCCAGTTCTGCTGTGTCCTTTTTCTTGGCCAAATCATCTAGTCTTTCGGGGCCTCATCTGTAAAGCAAGGATACTAATAGCACCTACATCATGCAAACATTATAGGATTAAGTGAGATCATATTTGCGAAATACCCAGAATGACACAGGGCAAGTACATAAGGTGCCCCAAAGAGGCAGCCCTTTCTTTCCATCCAACCAGTGAGGAGAATGGAGCTCAGGGAGATGACCCGACTACCTCCAAGGTCACACACTATGTCAGTGGCGGGGGAGGGGCAGCTACACCTGTCCCCCAACCCCCAAATCTGGCCATGCTGTACTTAGCAAAGGGGCGGGTCAGGGAGTCCCGGCCTCGGCCAGGGCTTTCTATCACCTCCACAGACGCAGCCCTGCTCTTGTAACACATCCCTGTTTAAGAAACAAACCACCCTCTGGCAGCTTCTCAAGCAAATGTCAGAGCCAATAAAGAGCTCCTGCCCCTCACCCCACTTTGCAGCCTGGGCTGCAGGGCCCAGTCTTACGGGGAAACACATGGGAGCTTACCCAACAGGTTTTCCCAACAGCCACGCCAGAGCGGGCAGGCCTCAGGGAGCCCAGGCTGGGGGGGCTCCCTCTCCAGGCCCGCCAGTGGCCCCTGTGACCTGGGCGCGGGCAGCCTCCCTCTCATCCTGTCTGAACCCGCTCCCTGGGAGGGGCCGATGTCACTAATCCTGCCGTGTAGCTGCAGGCCACCTCGGGCTCCCACCCCTGCTCTGCCCAGGCCCTCCCTCCTCCCTGCTGGCATCGCTCCAGCAGTGGCAGAGAGCCCAGCTTGGGGAAAGCATGGCCCGGCCCAGTGGCGAGTGTCCCCGGCCAAGCAGGCTGGCCTAAGCATGACAAGTGGCATCCACCCTTGTCTGTCCTGGCAGTGAGAGCCGAGCCAAAGAGCCAGGTTCTAAAGCTGGGGCTTCAAAGGACAGAAGAGACTCTGGAAATGAGATGGCAACATCAGAACAGGCCACAGATCTGTAAGGAGTTATTCTAAGAAGAAATCACACCCAGTTCCCAAGCTGCAAGTGTAAACGGCTACTCAGAAAACCATTACCTGCGCCTGCCCTTCCATTTCTGGTGAGCAGCCTCCTGGACTATGTCCGGGACAGATCATGTTCACGTTCTCCTAAGATGGAAGCCAAGGCCATCCCGAGAATTGCCCGAGGGCTCCTGAGGATAGCTAAGATGGGGAGAAAGCAGGTACTTGGCCTAGAATTGGCAAAATAAGCCAGGAACTCCGGAAGACAATCAGATTGAGCATGAGGGAGAAAAAAGAAAAAAATGAAACTAAGAGCGATCACAGTAGGTGATGTTTACGAAGCTTCCCTTCTATCTTAGGAAGTATGCTCAACATTTTATACACATGAGCTCCCTGAAACCTCACGGTGACTCGGAAAGCTTGATCATTGATACTTTCTGCTCCCCAGATACGGAAGTCTGAGTCTGAGAGAGAAGTGACTTCCCCAAGGCCATTCAGAGGCAAAGTGGCAGACCTCATTCAAATCTGATATCCCTGACTCCAGGGCAGACCCTCAGATGAAGACTGGAGGCCAGGGGTCTCCCCCTGCTCCTCCTTGAGGGCTGTGGGTCACGGTTCTACAAACGAGAATTAGCCTCTTTGCTTCTGTTCATTTCACCTGGATCACTAAAGTTTTAGATCCAGTGCCGAATGTGTCACTCGGGCACATCTCCCTTGGGTGGAAGGAAGGAAATGCTGGTCGTCGGCAAGATGATGGATCCTGTGGGAGTTCTAGAATCAGAAATGTTTCCCAGCCATGCAACAAATGGTCTGGGTGGCCTTGGACTCTTCCTAGAGTGTCTCCAGCCAGAGGCTGCTGTTCTATAAACCAGGACTAATCATGATTACATGAGTGGGCAGAGCAGGGGGAGGGACAAGATGGTGTGTACCTCCGAAACGCAACACTGAGCCCGGAGACAACCTCTGCAAAGGCAGGTGGCAAGCAGATCTTGTCCCTGCTGTATTCCTAGCATCTAGTCCTCCACTTGACAGGTACTCTGACCAAGCAATTTCTGTCGAAGAATCTACTTTACAGAATTATTTGCAAGTGTGCACAGATACACATGTAGAAGGTTAGATGTGAAAGCCACCGAAAGCCATGCCTATGGCCATGGGTGGAGTGTGGCCAACCCAGCAGAAGTCCTTGCATGGATTAGAATGCTAGGGAGTCACTAAAAAAAGTGAGACAGCTGTACATGTAACAGCTGTAACAGGTAAACCGTGTGTATAAACAGGGTAAGGGGGTTGCAGGACAATTTACATGTATGGTAAGATGCTTAGGAAAAAAGAAAGGTCAAGAGATGAATCCATCCTGGTCTACCAAGAATGGTTCCTTCCACTTGAGATTAGGACCTCAACAAGGAAGGGTGAGGGGAGAACAGAGATGGAGTGGCAGTGGGTGGGGATATTTGCACTTTTTACCCCCCGTGGTCTTTGCCTTGCTCAATTTGTTTTGACAGAGTCTGAGACACTTTTGTCGAATAAAAATGCAATCAAAATTATCCTTACAGCTTAAATAAGTGAAAAGAAGAATAAACAAACATCTCAAAGACTGTGAAGACAGGAAGCCCTGTCCCCATTCATCCCCTTCCCTCTCTGGTCCCTGAAACATATCTAGCACATCTCTGTGTCTCTGTCCCTGGAATGAGATGTGCAAAGATAGGCAAAGTGGTCTTATTCCCATCAGTTTGCCCCTCAGTGTGTGCAACCCTGCAAAATCTGACAGCACCCAGCCTCTTAGAGTTTTCTGGCTTTTCTCTGAAAATGACACATGGGTAGAAAACATAGGCACTGGTTTGTCCCCAAGCAGAAAGAGGAACTTGGGTGCTTTGGCCAAATGTGAAGTAGAAGGTTTGGGTGGGCAACTAGACTTGTTTGCCTTAGAAGCAGCTCTCATCTGTGGTTTTGGTGTGGCCTCGATGTAAAGGAATAGTAACTATCTAGAAAAAAAAAATCTTACCAAAAACTTGTAACTCCAATTTGGGAAGTTTAAAGTCAAAGAGAGAAGTAAAGATGGGGTGAAGTGGCAGTCCAGGGGAGTCTCGCTCAGGGTCACCACCTAGAGGGTTGAGTTCACAGTCACTTGGCAGAGCTGGGTCTCCTTGTAACTCACACGTCCTCAGTTGACTGCGCTCACCTGTAATTGCATATAATGAACCCCGTAATTGTACAACTGCCATAGTCTCTGCTGCCTAGGCCTGGTCATCTCCAGACAGACCCTGAACTTGGTAAAGGGGGACAGAAAGAACAGGAATATAAGGAACAACATCGAGGAAGCATCCAATCTGTTCCTGAAACTACTTTAAACGTGTAATATAGACGATCTCTTTTAAAAGTCCAGCGTCTCGTGAGGAACCCCCAACCCCCATTGTACAGATGATCCAGAACAACAAAGTACAGCTCCCACAGCATTGAATGGCAAGACCAAGAGGGAAATTCAGATTTGTCTTTCTCCCACAGCCATCCTCACCCAACACACCCTCACACACACACACACACACACACATCTCTTTTCCTCACTGAAACCACTTAACCAAGCAGACTAGGTTGTCATGGGAGATGTTTTTTTCCCAGAGTTTCATATGCATGGAGAAGAATACAAAACCCAATGGAAAGGAGAGGAATGCCACACTGCCCTACATTCCATGGCATATGAAACTCTTAGAAAATAGATTTGATATTATATTTAGAAGCCCTTAAATGTTGTTCTTCCTAGTTTTCTTATACCAACAGTCCGGCGTCATCCAGCTCTCCATGTAGGGTATGAGCCAGGCATCGACAGGAAGCAAACCTGCACCCCATACTGTTCCCCATACAGTCACCACCCTGGTAGGTTTATGTGGCTCAATAATAGCAGTAACTATAGGGGTGCCTGGGTGGTTCAGTGGGTTAAAACCTCTGCCTTCGGCTCAGGTCATGATCCTGGGGTCCTGGGATCAAGCCCCACATCAGGTTCTCTGCTCAGAGGGGATCCTGCTTCCTCCTCTCTCTCTGCCTGCCTTTCTGCCTACTTGTGATCTCTGTCTGTCAAATAAATAAAATCAAATCTTAAAAAAAAAATAGTAGTAACTATTCCTGCTTTTGTGTCTTCTTGGTTACTGTAGAGCCTAAAAGTTCCTAAGATGACATTAGCCCAAACACCTCTGATGATAGATAAAGAAACTACACACAGATAAAAGCCCTTTCTTGATATCAAACAGCCAGTCGGTGGAAGGTTCTGGAATAATGTCCTCCATGGCTTCCTGACTCCAGATAGTTAATGCCTTGACAAATAGGCAAGCCTATTGTATGTTTTTCAAAGTAGCTTTATTGAGACGTAATTTGTGTAACACTGGATTCACTTATTTTAAGTACAGAGTACAATGATTTTTTAAATTTTTTTATTTTATTTTTATTTTATTTCAGCGTTCCGAAATTCATTGTTTAAAACATTTATAAAATTGCACAATTATTACCATCTAATTTTTGGAACATTTCCTTCACCCCAAAATAGAAACCTTGAATCCATTTACAGTCACTCCTTATTCCTATCCCAACCCCAGATACCAATGAATCGACCTTCCATCTATGGATTTGCTTTTTCTGGACGCTTCATTTATGTGGACTCACATGACATATACTATGTGCTCTCATGTGACTGGTTTCTTTCATTTTGTGTGTTTTGAAGCTTAGCCACATGGTCTCACTATTTACACTGCATTCCCTTTTATTTGCATATAATGCCCCATTATATGCATTACCGCCTTTTATGATCTATTCACCAGCTAAGGGGTATTTGAGTTGTTTTCACTTCTTTGCTTATCGTATTTTTAACACGCATCG